CCGTAGAGTCCCCAGTAGTGTCAAACTCGACAGTTGAATTCAAGTATTCAACTATTCAATTATTACCCTCCTTAATCTCAGCCACTCTTATAGAGTTTTGCACTCACCCTCAACTGTCACTATGGGACTTTGCTCCTTCCTCGATAAGGATTTTCTCTTCATTAAGTTGTACATTTATAGTAGTCCTGGGAAAGAATGAAATTAATCAAATTCCTGGGAACTCCCTTTGACAAGCAGGCACTCATTATTGATTTTAAAGGCTACTTCCCGAATAATCTCTGGGAATTCCCTATAAACTTCCTCTTAAATCCTTGGGAACTCTACAGGAAAGAATGAACTAAGGTATCTAAGAAATATTTGTTGTGAAATCTAAAGGGTATTGCTCCATGGGGATGTATATCTGGTGTTGAACAACTTGATGTTCATGGAACAAATGTTATTTATAATAAATCAAAAAGTGATGAAAACGATGAAACACCTCTTGAACCAAATCATACACATTTTACTTTTATTGATGATGGAACTAAACATCAATATGGAGGAGAAAATGAATTTCGTGCTCAATTTGAAAGAGCGATTTCTGGAGAATCATTTTCATTACAAAGTACAATAAATAATAATCAAATGAAAGATAAATCAAGACAATCAGGTTAACATACTTCATAGAAGATGAGATTTATTTCTTTTTCTATTTGATTTAGATAGTATACCTGTTGTTCTTGTTGTTATTGACGGTGAACTTGAGACAATTAAGAAAGGTTTTGATATATTCAATTATATTTAATCATAGTGTTTGTTTTAGTTCATGAAAGTGTTATTAAAAATAAAATTCCAGTTGTTCTTCTGGCAGGCACTGGTGGTTGTTGTGATTTATTTGCTAAATGTTATCAATTATACAATGAATATCATCTAACATTGAAATTACCTGATCAAACAAAGTTGGTTTAACAATTTATAAAAACATATTGACTTTACTTCTTAGTTCTAGTGAAGATTCGTCATCATTAAAGGAAAAAATTGAACAGATAAAAAATAAACTTCGTGAAAAATTACAGATTATTGATAATAAATTAAATATAGACTCGTGCATCAATTTACTGGATAAAAATACTGGAATAGATTATTTTGAATTAATTTACGAATGTATTGATAAACGAAGTATATTTTTAAATTTCGTCGACTTAAAAGTGCATAATTATGTTGAAACAGATATTGATTTAGCTATTTTACAAGCACTTCTAAATGGTAAGAAAAAATATTATCATTGAAA